TGCCCCCCCCCCCTCCGGTCATCTTTGCTAAACTGAAAAGTCCACGACTCTTCAGCCTTTTCTCACAGGAAAGCTGCTCCAACCCCCTAACCATCTTGGTTGTCCTCCTCTATACTTTTTCCAGCTCTGCAGTGTCCTTTTTGAAATAACAGTGACCAGAACTGTACACAGTATTCCAAATGAGACCGAACCATAAATCTATACAGGGGCATTATAATATCGGCCATTAGATATATATATTGTGTTTTATATACTACATCCTAAAGGGTAGGGAATACACTACAACTAAAAAAAGGTAAGGGCCATACAAGAACGTTACATGATATATATCCAACCTACAATAGTGAGAAAAAAAGACAAGTTTTCAATAGAGTGAATTTAGTGAATTTTTCTTAAGCTACGTTCAGGTGTTTTGTAATCCTTTAAAGTCCAGTTTATCTCTTACGTTTCTTCTTCTTCTTGTGTTTCAAATTAGTTTTTGACATCTTAGGTGTTTCTTCTCCTTTCTCCAACTCAGAAGTTTCCGTGGTACTGCTAGAGTCACTTAAAGTATCATCTATTTCTCCATCGCTAGTTCCTTCATCTTCCAGATCATCCACAGTTAAAATTCCTTCTGGAAGATCCATTTATAAATAATTGAGTTATTTTGAAGGAAAAAAGTTAATTCTTTATATTGCCATCTTCGTTTCCGGATCTCAAATGGAATGTCTTTTAGAAGTTTGATTTCTTCATCTTTAATTTTCAACAGTTTCCTCGATGTAGCTTTCAGGACATCATCTCTAGTGGACCTCTTAGAAAATTTCACATATATTTCGCCAGGCATTTTATTTTTAAAATAAAATCCGAATAAGTACGATACACTAGGTCCATATCGTTTTGCGGGACATCTTGTTTAAGGTCCGTCATTGATGCTAATGCTTCGCTTAAAATTATTTTTAGATTTTCTCCTTTTTGCTCAGGAACCCCTTGGAAGCATAGAGCATACATTGATTTTTCCAATTGAAGTTGTAGGAGTTGGCCTTTATCCGTGGTTCTTTCTTTTTTCACTTCCTCCAAATCTTGTTCCACACTTTTAGTCTTTGTTTCAATTCTCTTGATTGCTCTGTCTGTTTTATCAGCTCTTTTATCCATCTGCACAAGTTGCTTTTGAACACAGTCCAGCCATTCTCCTCCCTCTACCAGGCATTGTTTATACAATTGATTTTAAAGTCAAGCTTCTCCGATTTTATTGCGCCTTGGATTAATTTACAACTTTTACACTCCGTTAAAGTCTTGTGAGGTTAGTTTCATTTCTTGCTTTTGCTATAATGCTCAGGGACTGCTCAGTTTTGGGGGGTTGAATCCCCAACCCTTCCCCACCCGCCACTCCTGTCTCGAGTCAATCAAACATACAGAGACTTGGTCGTTTATATGGGGATCGCTTGACTCACTGATTGTTCAGATTTGACTCACTGTAGGAGGTAGTTTTGCTTAGTCCCTTATCTGCTCATCCGGCGGTCAACTCTGCACGCCATAATGGCTCCGCAGCGGCAGAACCTCTTGGGGACGGGTGATCCTCGATCTTTAAGCCTTCACTTCGGGAGAGGCTCTTCCCTGATCCCCAGGCTAAGAGCCTCCTACAGAGACTCCGGGGGTGGTGGGTGTCTGGAACCAGCCTAGACCCCTCCTGTCCGCCACGTCTTGGTGCACCCCCATTGAGAGATCAATGAGAACCCATCCTCTTATCTTGTGACTGCTAAATTTACTCAGGAGTCTTTGGTGAGGTACTGTGTCAAAAGCCTTTTGAAAGTTCAAGTATATAAAGCAAAGGCTTTTGGCTTCTCAACCATGTTAATCCAGTTTACGAAAATCAAGTAGGACCTTGAAATTGGTGGAGGGGGAGGGGGTGGAAACTACCATCAAGTCACAGCCAATTTATGGCTACCAAGCAGGGTTTTCAAGGCAAAAGACAAACAGAGGTGATTTGCCACTGCTTGCCTCTGTGTAATAATCTTGGACTTCCTGGGTGGTCTCCCATCCAACTACTAACCAGGGCTGACCTTGCTTAACTTCTGAGATCTGATGGCATTGGGCTAGCCTGGACCATCCAGTTCAGGGCAAATTAGCCACACTGAACTCCATAATGATGAGGCCACAGCAGGCACAGTCTGTGGTCTATCTGTGTAAATCACAATTAAATTAAATGTATACTTTACAATCCTGTTGTTCTCCTTTAATGTTTTTTACCCGATAAGCAATTATCTACCTCTTTATGGTTACAGCCAGTCATATGATTTGTCTCCTTATGATGATTAGTTTGGGCTTCTGTGATGGTGATAGGGCTGATGGCATCCTTGTCTGGTCTTCCATGGTGGCTCATGAAGGCCCTGGGTATCAGCATAGTGAGGATACCCCACCCCAAACCTTTGAACAATCACATCAAGAGGCTACACCGCTCTTAAACATAGATGAGAGACACTAAAGTGAACTGATATCTGCATCTGTGACTAGAAGGTACTACATTTACTTCTACCACCTGTGTACTGATTAAATTAGCAACAAAATGGGACTGGATATGAGAAACTGCATTGTCAAAGACTTTCAGGCTCCCTATGCATTTTATAGCTCGCCTGCCATTGAGAGGAGGCTCCTCTCTCCTTGATGTGACAGGGGCTTGTCACCTTCGTGGAGCCAAATGTCCTGGCTTCTCAAATGTTCTCCTTGCTATGTAGAGGCTACGTCTATGGGAGGGTAGGCAACTGTTAGTTCTGGCGGGAGGGATGCTCTGAGAGGGGTACGTGCTTAATGACTGTTAATTCTGGCGGGCAAATACCATGGGGTGATTGGGTCTTGATCTTTAGTGCCTTAATTTGAACACAATATATCTGTAACCTTCACATGTTCACCGACAGTCCTAACAATAGCTTGAGTCCAGTATGGTATCTATCAATGTCTCAATAAAATTAGCTTTCCTTGAAGTGACTGGTGTTGAAAACTGATTTAACCAGGATCCTGACAAAGACCTCTGCAAAAATATCACAGCTAAATGCCATAGCATTGTCATTTTGACGTCCTACTCTCAGGAGTTGTCAATTGCTTAATTAATCTAAATAACCGTGCAGAGTGTAGTTCACCTGATACAATGGTGGCAGAAAAGTAGTGTTCTTTTGCTGCCATCACTGCTGCCACTCATAGGCTCTATAGTGTACTTTGTCAGCAACACTCTAGTAGTCTAGAACCCTTTCTAATATGCCCGATTTCCCTATAAACCACGGAGATGGAATTCTGTTTGAGGGCAGTAGAGGACCTGGATGGCCCAGGCTAGCCCAATCCTGTCAAATGTTGGAAGATAAGCAGGGTCGGCCCTGGTTAATATTTGGATGGGAGACCACCAAAGAATACCAGGGTTGCTACACAAAGGCCCCGGTCACATGGGCAGGAAAATGCGGGGGGGGGGAACTTGGCTGTTTGCCTTGGAGCAAAATAATGCGCAGCTGCGTCCCGTCGAGGTCCTGTGGTTAGGGGGGGAGGTGCCAATCACAGGACAATCCTGCGGCGCAGCAAAGAAGCGGCCTCTCTAGCAAAAGGCTCTGTGGGTTTAACCCCTTCCAGGACTGCAGAGAAATGCAAATTGTGCCCTCCGTCCGGTCCCCTCCAGCAGGAGCTTCAGCCGAGCTGCCCTCCCGCCACACCACCCCCGCACCTCCCCTGCACCTCCCCCTCTGCTGCCCAGTGCAGAGAGTTCCTCTCGAGCAGGCCGAGCCAGGAGTGGGGTGGGTACGGAAAAGAGGAGGGGGCTGTGTTGTTTGCTTTTAAACGAAGTGTGCGCATGCGCCGTTGGATGCTTGTGCGCATCCCGTAGAGACTTGGAAAAAAACAAACCTTTTAGCGACGGGACATGGGCGGGCGCCGGATGCCACGACCTACCACCAGAAACGCGATCAGGCACCCGCCCTTGCCCCACGGTTTCCGAAAACTAGTACCTCGGAGGTAATAGTTTTTTACCCCACATCTTCGGCGGGAAGCCTCGGGTTCGCCATGGGAGCTCTATGCTTCCCAGATGTGGCACTGTCATCGCGCCCGGAAAATCCGCCTATCTTCCATCTCTGTAGCGTGGCTAATGCTCCGTGTGACCGCACCCAAAGGCAGGCAATGGCAAACCACCTCTGTTAGTCCCTAGCCTTGAAAACTCCACAGGCACTTCTCTCCCTCTCTCTCACACACAGAAAAGACCTGGCTGATCATCTGGCAGACTGTGCTATTTCTGGCTACTTCCAAACAATTGAGAGATACTCAGGGCATGTTCAATTTCCTGTTAGAGTGATGCACAGAGACTATGAACAACCGTCCAGGATTTGTGTGCAAATCTTTGACAGCTTCACCAGAGACTCAAAAACACATCTGATATTACCCTTCCCTTGTAAGAACAACCTCTAGGAAGTAGCTATGTACACCATGGCAGTAGATATGTCGAAACTGATAGATAAGTATAAGAAAAACTATAATTCCCGTACATACCACACCCCAGTGGTCCTATTTTTCTGCTTATTATGGGATACCTGTTTTTCTCTTTTATTTCAGCCAAACAAAATCTTTATAGAACTATTTTTCATCTTCTCAGAGCTTGGCCTGAACATCTTCATTTCTGTAATTTGGAAGGCTTTCGCAGATGCTTCCTGTACAGCTTCACATAAAGCCTCACTGAATTGAAAACTTTCTGGAAATACTAGAATATTAGTTTTGCACTGAAGTACCACAGCACTGTGTGTTGAGCAGAGCAGAACTTTAGGGGAAATAATAATGCTTCGAATTTTTGGCCTTACAAATCCCCCCCCCCCCCCCAAGTAGTAAAAAAATAAAATTATACTTATTTTTTACATTAAAGTTTTTTTAATTAGTGAAACAATCATTATCAATGTAACAAGCTGAAAAATACAGCAACCTGATAGAAGACTGAGGTAACAAAATACTTTGCCAAAAACCTAAACGACTCCCACACAAGGGTTAGAACTTCAGTGGTTATCATGAGTGAGACAATTCACAAGAATTATTATTTTGTTTGTTTGTTTTAGAAAGGGGCCTTACATAAACGGCATGCAGTGGGCTGCTGGAATACGGCCAAAAAAAATAGTGCAACAATTTTCACAAGAAACAAATTGAAATCTAGAAAACTGGTTTACATCACAATGTGACAAATGGGTCAAAAATTGAGTACTACTGTTTCTGCCTCAACTGAGTGCTAATAGGGAAAAACATGCATTTTGGCACTAAGTTTGCTTTAAAATTACTCACACTCTAATAAATTAACAATAAATAATATTGCTGCAATATAGCTCATAGCTTCACATGTCATTAAAAACAGTCATCCTGAAAACAACTGACAGGGACCTTTTTCATAAAGTTGCTGAACAAAGAGGTTAGCTGCGTAAATGAATTATCGCTAGACTAGCAGTCTGGGGGCCAAGCTACACAATATGCTTACACATATGCTGGGTCACAGGTGTGTGACTGGACTCGAGGGAAACTCATCTTAAAAAGCGCTCGCTTGCTCAATGCTCTGAGGGGGCAGAAGGAGCTTCCTGTATGTGTCCCAGAAAGGACACACGGAGCCAGAGAAAAGTGGTGAAAAGAGCCTCTCTCCTTTCTGCTACTGAAAGTGGGGTGAAAGGGAACTCAAAGCTTCATCTCCCTCCTTGCAGCACCAAGCAAACAAGTGGGTTCCCCTGATGTACATCTGACTGTGAGTCTGGTCACACACTCATGAAGTGGCACAGCACACGTCAGATGTATCATGTAGTTACACACTGAGGCGGCCATCTGTTTTAGGAGTCAGATGCTGAACGGGCACACAGAGATAACCCATCTGTAAAAACTCCCCCATAAAGAAGGCTGATATATACAACCCTGCCTTTGCACACATGGATCCGTTGCTGTTGCTGGAATGAGAGGGGGCAGCCAGCAAGCTCTAAAGCTCTGTGTGTGCATCAGAGATGCATGGGACCTCTGCATCAGAGTTTGTAATACCCCCATGACAGAGGTGATATTTTAAACAGTATCAATATGCTTCACTTTATTATTTAATTCCTAGTAAAAGGTGCGCTAAAAAAACCCAGTAGCTAAGTAGAGTTCATGCTTTTATAGGAAGAAAACAATTTAAATGTGGATTATGTTAACAACAATATCCATATACTCATTTATTTCATCTTCTTAAAACATTGTACAGCAAAGCTGCCTGTATTGCTGAATACTGCACCATGTTACTCCATTATCACACAAGTCATTAGTATACAATTTTCCAAGTTCATGTCCAGACAAAATACTATATATACATCAAATCAAGGTCAGTCATTTGTATCACCAGTTGTTTTCTTTTCTTGGAAAAAAAACCCCATTCCAAATGCGAATTTGCAGAGGGACTTTCAAGTAGCTACATTCCAAGTTATTTCCTTCCCCCTACAGATGCATGCAAGTTTCATTCATTACATAAGGAGAGATTTCTGCCTCATGGGTGCCACCACCACCAGTGTCCTTTTCATTCGGGACACGTTAGATCAGGGCCCCTGCTGGTCTGGGGTCTAAACTCTTTGTGGTTGAGGGGACTGATGCATAATGATGAAAGCTGGTGAGAATTGGGGAGACCTTTTTTCTCTTATCAGATGAAATTATATCCAAAGGTCAAAATACTTATCCTTGTTCCTTCAGGAAGTACAAAGTTAAACCAAAAGCAAACTAGGGATTTGCTGTTCTCGGAGCTTTTGCTCTGACAGTTAAATACTAATATCCTTACTTAGAAGTAAATCCAACTGAGTTCAATGGGACTTACTTCCTATGCTTAGATGGCATCCTTCATTTTCCCAATTGCTACAAATGGCTGAGGGCTGCAAGCTGCCACTGCCCAGGTAATGGGAAATTATCAAACACCCCTTTGACTGCCTGGCCTGTGATTGCCACCATTATTTTGGTGTGTAGCTTCCACTGACCTGGAAAGTGAGAGTAAGCATAGGGCATTTGCTGCAAGATTTAAATGCAACTATTGTGACCTTAACCATGAGCACCTGGACTATTGATCATCACCGTCAGTAGATCTTGTTCTGGGTCATCTGAATTTAGTTAGTTTAAATCTACTTTGGGAGAAAAACTAAGCATCGGCACTCTAGTTGATGTATATTTTGACCTCTAAGTAAGTTGAGGTCAAACTTACTGTACTGATTGTTCTCTTCCACAGAATGGCAACCTGAACTCTACCATTATATCGTTCGATTGATGTGATGGAAATTAATTATGCATGTCCTAATTCCCTTTGTGTCGCTTTTAGCATTTTGGCAGCAGAGGAAGGCCCAGTTCTTGTTTTAACCATTTCAGCTTTACAATTTCTCAGCTTCAAGTCATGTACTTCTTGCATTTTTTGGCATCCTTAAAAGTCGTTGAAGATAAGAGTTCAGGGATATGCTGAGAACAAAGAGGACTGTGTTAATCGAATACAAGTGTAAAATGGGCTGTTGTTTTCTCCTTAGTGCTGTAATGAGGCTCTCACTTTAATTCATGAAATGAGCATTCAAAACAGGGAATGCTGCTAGGATGGGGTCCTTTCCTGGTTAAAAAAGAAAGGATCATGTTGAATTCTTCACAGCCACTAGTAGGTCTGGAGGCCGGACCTTTACATTACCACCCTGTAGCTGCCCAGATGTCTCTCCTTCTGTATTCTGAATAAGAATGGAGTATCATCAGCACATAGTACGCAGACCTTGCTAAATCACATTCTTACATTTTCACTTTAGATGCAAATCCAGACAAGAGTTTCATCCCGGAGAACAATCAAAATGTTTAAACTGCCAGCATCTCCTTGTGCAAGAGAACACTTGGTCAGGAAATGCCCACGATGATGACCAAACAAAACCCCACTATTCATCTGCCATTGGGGGAATTTGTTCTTAGACTTACAGAAGCTCCTTTGCTATGGCCTCGCTCATACCAGGTTACCTTTTGGGTCGACAGGGCAATCAAGCGCACAGCACCCAGTCAACCTGACCTATTAAAAAAGGAGGTTGAAGGACATATCTGCATGAGAAGCTGCCTGACTCCCATTGTGGGGAGATGACAAGGTTCACGAGCTGGTTTCATATTGGGTTTCATTCTCAGGACTATGACACAAAACATACAGTAGCATGACGATTAAAAGCAGATTACAATCAACAACATACTAAACATTAAAGAAAAAAAGTATATCTATATATCTATATTTTTTAAGGTTCAAAAATCATCAAGACTCAACCAGATCAGTAGATAACGTCCCTTGGTCAGGGCATGTCTTCAAATGTGGGGCTGAGTTCATCCGAAATGACTGCTGGCTTCCCACAGAGACTGAAGGCTGCGCCACGCAGCCTCCTCACTCTTGTAGGCAGGCAGGGTCTGAATGTATGTTGAAGGGATTCTGTTCAGGAGATTAGGTAATCAGGAACTGGGGAAACGTGGAGCTCGATCCAGCTATGCTTTCCTTGGTTAATGATGTCAAAATATTAACATGTTGTGAGCTTACAGGAGGTTGTGAAATATCAAAAGGAAAGTTTTGGGATGGTAAGAACCCCTCCAACGAGGCAAGAATGTAGTGACAAGCAGATGCCCTGCCAACCGGGAATATCTGAATGCAGCTCTGTAGGTGCAAATGACTTCTGCACCACTAGACATTTTAGATGAATAGCACCCATAGTTAAGGGGGGGGGGCTCAAATAATTTAAGGCAAACAAGAAAGGAGGCCAGAAAGAGCCTTAAATACCAAGTGGATTTCAGCAGCAACACACTCTTCACATCACTGGGCACCTCCTGTACATTAAAACAAAGCAGCAGAAACAATTTCAAGAAAGAAACAGTAAATTACAGGTGGTTTATCTTGTGCCAAAATACACATTTCCCAAATAGCTCAGGGATGAACATCAGTTTTGTCCCTAGGTTTTATACAAAATCTGAGGCAGCCACATTGTCAAGCAACTCAGTGCACTTAAGGTTAGAAAAAACGTTGTTCCACAATGTCCTATTCTAATCGACACTTTGCAGCATGTTAACACTGTCAATTGTTTTGTGCATTAGAAATAATTGAAAACCCAACATGGGCTAAATGTTCTTCAGTCACATAAAGCAGCTCAACAATAAAAAGAGCAGTTAAAAAAAAAGAATTTGCAGAAGATGTGATGCACAGTTTGTGGCAGAACAGAAATCCACGGTAGTCTGTGACCACAAAGCTAAAGTCAAGGACTCAAGGATCCTGCGTTGGGAGCAGGATGTGTCTTGGATCAGTCTAAATTCATTTCTCTCATCAGTGCATTAGGTTAGATCCTGTCCTAAGGACAACATTCACGTTCTGCTTTTAGAAGCTCTGTCATAATTACTTTCAAGTTACATAGAAAAGTGCTGAAGTTGCTGTTACAGACAGCTGGCTCGCTCTGGAGTCTCCTTCCTCTGTTCTCCTGTGGGAACAATTCCTTGTCCTGCAGTTTGGCACTTGAAGTCACACCACACACTGAAGCATGTTACTCGAATGACATAAGGTTTGCAGGTACCTGATGCAAGAAATGGAAATCAGTCAGCAGAATGAATCTTCTTGAAGCACGGGGAAATCAAAGTGTTAATCTACCTCTGAGTCAAAGGTCCATATCCAAGTCTGCTTTCTGCGTCACTGAAAGTACTCTTGCAAGTGAGAGCTTGGAACAGACTCCGAAAAGTTGAAAAATGCTATACGACAATCCACAGCTGATTGCTTGAAGTCCCCCACTAATGGTTAATATCATAAAACTATGCTGCTGGATCAGAATGAGGGTCTATCAAATCCAGAATCCTGTTTACCATAGGAGCAAACCAGATGCCTTCCGGTAGAGCTCAAGCAGGGTGAGAAAAACAACAGGCCTTCTCTTCTATTGCTGCCAAGCAAAAGGCATTTGGGAGAATACTGCCTCCGAACAAGGGCATTAAAATGTAATCATCCTGGCTACAAGAGCTTGCCACCTTCATTTGCAACTGCAATACGCATCACATTCGTACCCTTCTTGAAGCATAGATGGAACTCCTTCTATCCACATATCCCAGCAACATCCCTACCCCTCATCTGAACTGAAGCCACAGAAACTGCACTTAGAGGATGTGGGACCTTTAGCACTGCATTAGCAGTGTGACTAAGGATATATAATCTGAGTGTGCAGTGCTGCACAGTTGAACATTAAACCACTACTAGCTGCCAAAACATTCATCTGGTTCTTTGATCAGACAAGGCACAGAAGAGTGAGAATCCTAAATCAATGCCCGAGCATCTGTGGGAGTGCTATCTCTGTCTCTTTCTCCACGATATGGCAGTTGTTAACAAAAACCACAGCTCTGAGAAAACAAGAGATTTGCTGGCATGAATGATGTATCCAGTCAAAATCTTGCTAGGCAGCTCTGCAATGGTTTCACATGGCTTCCTTTGTGACTACCCTTTTAGCTCAAAAATCAAAAGGAAAAACCATACCTGAGGCCTGTTGCTTTTGCATGCGTCGTCCAAATGCTTGTGCCACAGTATTGCATGAAACCTTGAACCAGTCTGAAACTTGTAAACATTGCCTACAAAAAATTTTTTGTAAGAAAAGCAGAGGCAGAGTTTGACACAGAGTTTGATACACAAAAGCAGAGTTTGAGACACAAAGACAACAGTAGGGAGCAATTAACTGAAAGCTCCATATAATTATTGGGCAGAAAGCAGGGTTTAACAAGGCGAGGGAAGAACTGTGCACGCTCAGGACAAACTGACTTGAATGCTGACTAATCTGATCTTCCAGGTCTGACTCATTGCCTTTGCTTTATTGCTAATACTTAAGAAACCCCAGGTCTCTCTGAATTAAGGACTACACCTATGAAGCAGTAGGAGACTATACTAATATTTTGCTTTCTTTCAGAGTAAGAACGTTAGAAAACACATGACTACATGGAAATATTGAAGTTATTTCAGGGGTGAAGTCACTGAGTAGGGGAGGGGCCATGGCTAAGTGGCACAGCACAGGATTTGGATCCAAAAACATCAACATCCATATGGCATCTCAAGGTAAATGGATCTCAGGCAGTAGGACTGGGATAGCCCTGGCAGAAGCCTTGGAGAGCTGCAACCCATCAAAGGAGACAGCCGCGATTGGCTTATGTAGTTCCCTGTAAGTGCTGTGGCTGCTGATACCATGCAACAGCGATGGGGCTTCCCTGTAGTAGTTTCTCTGCCCCCGGTTCCTTTGCAGTGACTACCCTCCCACGCACATCATCAGGGCCTTTTCAGCGTGTTTTTTTTTAAAAATCAGTAATTGTTCTAATAGTATGTGTATCAAGCATTTGAAATTCCCAGAGTTCTTTAAAAAGCCTCTCCCTCCTTTACTTGTGAAGATACGCCTTTCCTCTTTATATCTCCAAAGTGACAGAGGCTAGAAAGCTACTTTTAAAAAGTAAAACTGGAATTCAGAGGCTCTGATATGCAGATAGCCACAGAGGTCATTTCGGGGGGATCGCGGGGCCCCCGGGTGAGGTGCAGGGGGGCGGGGCACACGACGAAGCCCCGCCCCTTCTTCCGGCCGCCCCCTTCTTCCAGCCTCATTCTGTTGCAGAAGGAGGAAGAAGCAGGAGGGTAAGTTGGCGTCCTCCCCCTCTGCCTGGCCGAGGCCACTCCACGTGGCCTCCGCAAGGACTCCCAGCCCCATCCAGGAGCTTCCCCAAGGTAGCTGTGTTAGTCTGTTGCTGCAAAATAGTCCAAGAGTTCAAATAGCACCTTTAAGACTAACAAATAGCACCTTTAAGACTAACCTTTAAGACTAAGACTAACTGAGGGGTGGGTGTGGCCTTATGACACACCTCCGGTGATAGCAGGGGGTGTGGCCTTATGACACACTTCCGGTGATGTAATGGGGGTGTGGCATATGCTAATGAGTTATGCTAATGAGTTCCCCTAGCTCTTTTTCTACGAAACGACCCCTGGATAGCGATAACAATATTCAACGGCCAATTTAAAAATCCCCCAAAGCCTCCCAGTGGCAGTGGGAAGAAAAGGCTGCTGTGGGGGCAGGGACTGCGAAAATGGCTGCCGTGTGCGTGTGAGGGGGGAACTGAACTTTCCATCCCACACAGCAGCCATCCAGGCTCTGCCATGATCCTTCCCAAAACTTTGCTGCAAAGCAGGCTTAGAAAACATTGGAGAAATGCTGGGGAAGGGCTGGGAGGTGCATAAACGTATCACGATGCTGTGCGGAAGCGCCCCCCCCCCACACTTCTCAATAGAATCAAACCTCAATAGAATCAGTAGAATCCATGTGGAAACAGCCGCTATGTGGGAAAATAATGTGATTTTCACAGGGGAAAAAATCTTTATTAATGGGGCATTGATCTGTTTTCTGCTAGGCTTCTGTGTTCCACTGAATCTACATTATGAGTTGTTAGTGTTCCCTCTAAGCTGAGTTAGTGTGAGCTAGCTCACAGTTTTTTAGCCTCTGGCTCACACATTTTTGTCTCAGCTCAGGAAGGATGGCTCCAGAGCAAACTGATTTATGCAGGAGCCAAATTGCTCGCTCACTACTTTAATCCCAGTAGCTCACAAAGTAGAATTTTTGCTCACAAGACTCCATGGCTTAGAGGGAGCATTTTACCATTGTTAAAAGAGGAATATTCTTGTTGTGCAGTATTAAATAAATCATCTCAGATACCCCTAGCTTTCCCTTTGCACTTTCAGTTTTTGAGGTCAACTACCACCAGAATGAATGTTCTGACTGACTGAGGACAGGTACATACCTTTATCAGGGTTATTTAGCTGAAAAATATCAGGATGTTCAGGATCATCAGGCAGTGCTACCATCCATCCAACAACGGAAACCCTTTTTCCTGGAGTAGATTTATACTAGGAGAGAAAAAAGCAAGAAAGAAGATGAGCGAGAACTATTCCAGATGGCTTTCTTTATCTACAAAGAGCGCCAGCATCATAACTGGGGATAAACGTACTTTCCTGGACACAAAAGCCAGTGAGTACATCCCTGTTGGTATTGCATGCCATCTATTGTAAACCATGTGTTTGATCTACAGAATAAAACCACTTCTTTGCTTACGTGCTTTCTTTCAGTGCCTCTTAAAGACTTTGCTCCGAAGTAGATCAGAGTAGATCCTGAAAGGGTAACCCAATATCTAGTCCACGAGGAAAGCTGAGGAACAGAGGAGAAAATTAGGGAAAATTTCGAAGCGCATGCTCCATATACTTGCAGAAGTACTAAAGTGAATATAATGGGAAAAGCTCAGGAAAAACAAGAATGTTAAGGCAGCTCAATGAAAATGATGGAGAGATGGATTTCCAATGGCTGACTTCTGCGTTTTCAAAGTTGTGGTCATTTCTTTGTCTTCTCTGTCCTTCTAGCCTTTGGTGCATCAAGAAACTTGGTTTGTTAATTGCCTAGAGAAAAGAAAAATCCTGCCTCTTTAATGAGGATGTTATTTACCTCCATCTAATGTAAAGCTTCAAATGAAAAGCTGCCCATTTCCACACATTAAGCTTCTATTAAAGAGACAGGATATTTTTCCTCCGGGCCTGTTAGGAACCCTATTTGAAATCTGTTTCGCACCAACAGTCTCATCTAATTTGATTAGGTCTGCAACAGCGCTTGACCTCCATTTTAAGACTATACAAAATGCAGACTGCGAGATTCTCTATCATGCCCTGAAGCACCTTTTTCTCCCTCCCCCCTTTACTATTTATTTAGATCCAGCCTAATGAAGAGTTCTGGGAACTTGAAAATATGTGATTATTTTTGGCTGATTCTAATAAAAAGGAATTATACAACTGTTTTGTCTGTAAGGTCACTGAAGATAGGCTAGCATCTATGAGGGCGCAATTTGCTTTGAAGAAAATGTACTTTCTTCCGCCTTCACTGTTGAAACAGGGTTGCGTGCTGCCACCTGCTGGTGGACATGTATTATGACTCAAACTTACACCCTGAAATCTTTGAACTTTTTGGGCCCAGGCACGAGGGAAAATGGGATGGAAGGAGCATAATGGGAATTTTATACAACTTATAACTTTGAGTTTCCTATCAAACCTCAACCTATTTTGATGATTTAACTGCACAGAATGCATCAATTATAACTTGTTTAGCATATAAAACTGTAGTAATTGGCAGAGTTCTGGAATTTAAAAATATAAATACTGTACAGTGCTAACCTAAGCAGAGTTAGGCCCTTAGAAGGGTTAGACTTAGAAGGGGGGGACAACATTTCCAAAAATATACACAATGATTTAAAATTAAAAGTTAAGATTAAAATAGGCTTGACCAGGGCTTATCTTGAGCCGGAACGGGCTGGAACGGGCGTTCTGGGAATTGGTGCCAGTCCCCTCCCGCAGGCAGATTGGCGGAGCATGCGCTGGAGCCACAGGATCACTCGCCCTTGCTGCCCGCCCACCCGCTCTTGCTGGCTGCGGGTGGGCACGCTGAGGGTTGATGGGGAAGGCAGGGAGGGGGGGTCCGAGGTGGGGTGGGGAAGGGGGGAGCCGCTCTGGCCCTGGCCACCACTGATTAGCACTATGCTGAGCCTGTGCCACCACCGCCAGCCATCCTGGGCACACCGTAGAGGAGAGGTGTGCACATCGTAGGGCAGTCCCAAGGCGTGGCTGCTGGGCATCGAACAAAGCTGGCTCGGCGCCCCTCCCTGGCTCAGCTGCTGCCTCCAGTGGGTGGCCTGCCTGCCGGCCGCTCCCCCTACATCGCCCAAGCCGGGCAAGCCCGGCTCTTGCCTCGCCGGCCAAGCGACTGTGGCTCAATCCATCGACGTCCCACCTGGCCTCACCGGGGTCATGAGCGCTGTGCAAGGTGGGCTCCCACTGGCCGGTGGTGGCGCAGCCCTGGGGAGTGCAAGGGCCATGTTCCATCCGGGTGGGAGGGGTGGCGGCTCACACACTCTGCCTCGCCAAGCCCCACTTGCAGCTGCAGCGGCTGCAGCTGAGGAAACATATCTGCAGGCCGGCCCAAGAAAGTGAAGATGGCCACTAAGTACTGCCCGGAGTATGACCAGCAGGTGAACATCACAGAGAAGTGCAGGGCGACGGCAAGGTTGCTTGCAGCCTGTCCTGGCGCCAGCTGCCGGTGGGTGGCAAGTGGGTGCTGCCCTGTGGCTTTGTCCCTCCTCGGTGTGAAGCTTGACTTGGCATCCAAGCAGTCAGGTGTGCCTTGTAGGGTCACCTGGGGGAATGGGCGAGGATGCAACAGGCCCTTGCGAGCTTCCACCTTGCACAGAGACTATTCCACTGGATTGGGTTGGGCACCCTGTCCCAAAATTTCATGCTCTGTTATATAAGTTAAATTATTGCTTTTTTGTCCTGCTGAAGAGATCTGTATTATTTATAAGCTTATATACTGCGAAACCTTAATGCAGTAGAAGCAGATGTATATTTCAAATTCACTGAAGTAACTGCAGGAAACTTATTTGTGCAGAGGAAACAGGAACGTTTTTCTATTCTGCCCTCCCAAAGTTTGATGTTGTTTGTGGATGTGGCCCTCAGACTTCTCTGCTGCCTTTGTTAACTGGAATGGTCACAATGGGCCCCTGTAATTTAGTGGGCCTAGAATGCACAATTCTTCTAAATTGGCACAGAAGCAAGTGCCCAAGGTCAGTCACTCTTGAATGTATTGATTCTAATGACTTCTTTATTTTGGGGGGATGGATTTAAGATTGCTGTGTAGGGGAAGCATCTTTAACCACCAGTAATGCTGTGAGCGCCACACTTTATGTGGCAAGTTACCAGTGTCTCATTACCAGTGCTGAGATCTCTACTCCTACTACCCTACTACCGACTCAGGGGGTGTGTGGCATATGCAAATAAGTTATGTTAATGAGTTATGCTAATGAGCTCCTGCACCTCTTTTTCTACGAAATGACCCCTGGCCTTAACAATTCAGCTAACAATTTCAAACAACAGTTTCAGATGGCCCCAACAAACACACAATTTAGTATCCTTTCCTGATGGGGGAGAAGGAAGGAAGGAGCCAGGCTAGCTTAAAAAAAAGTTGCCGTCCTCAACCATAAGCCTAGCAGAACGTCTCTTTCTTACAAGCCCTGAGGAACTGATTTTCACCCAATCACTCTCTGACAGAAATAGCCAATAGTTTTTTTTCAGTGCTGCCCAAAATTTCCCTATTGAAAAAAAAAAAGCTTCAGAAATTTTAATGCTATAGATTTCATTTGAAGAAAACCTTGTCTTCAAACGCATTGCACTCATTTCAACACCACCACCAAAATAATAGGAGCTTTTCCCCAGTGTTTCCCAAGCTTTCCTCTGAAAAAATAAAAAGTCCTCCAAACAAAACCAGAAACAGCACCTTCTTCTGACACCCCCCCCCACTCCTTCACAGTGGGGCCCGCTGTTAATTTTTTTTACCATATCTGTGTCTGCCTCCTCTTTTGAGGATTAACAGATGCAAAAGAAAAAAGAGACCCTATTTCTTTAATAGAGAGAATCCGGACAGTTGCTGTACGCCGTGCAAAGTTGAAAAGATGTACCTGCTGAAATACGAAACTATTAAAGGCAAAAGAGTCATGTTCACCTTGTGTGCGTGTACAACTTCCCTATCCCCTCCCCTTCCCCAAATATCACATGAAAAAGGGGAGAACAAGATGGTGCCATCATTGGTGTAATCCAACCTGTGGATCCAGACTCATCAGTAGAAGACCAATGTTACAGCATTGTGGAATTTGACGTTATAAAGATATGTTGTTTGGAATGCTTAGTGTTAAGGAGGCCAAAGGATTTGCTTTTTGCTTCCTGTGGAAAATTATGTATTTTCTCACAATTTAGGCCTTAAAGAAAACTCACAGAAGGGCAAGAACGAGAGGGTTGTCCACTATTAGAATGCTATACTGAGTTACGAATGTTGATTGAATACCCAGACAAAATTCTAGGAATGACAGAACATGGTTTGCTATAAATATTCTATTGGGGAAGTATCATGTTATGCTAAGAAGTGCATCACATCATCCCTTTAGATATTTCAAATCAGAAGGTTTAATTTAAGTCATGTGTTGCTTCACGCAACTGTGCCGTATAGGCTAGCCACACCCTGACCTGGATGGCCCAGGATAGCCGGATCTCATCAGATCTCAGAAGCTAAGCAAGGTCGGCCTTGGTTAGTATTGGGATGGGAGACCACCAAGGAATGCCAGGGTTGTGACACAGAGGCAGGCAATGGCAAACCATATCTGAATGTGTCTTGCCTTGAAAAACTTACAGGCTTGCCATAAGTTGGCTGAGACCTGATGGTACTTTCCACCACCACTGAGCTAGCCACACCTTAAAATCCTCAAATTTCTCAGATTTGGAATTTGGAATTCAGTGAAACTATCTTATCTTTTCTGCAAAGGCTCTTGTAAGATTCTCTGAAATCGCCATTCATTTTAAGTGTGTTAGGTAGAATACAAAGTGACATCTATGCCTGGTTTTCTTTTAATCTCTTTCACACAAGTTAGTATTTTCTGTACATTTGTGATTCTTGTTTAATTACTCATGTCAAGAATAATTAATTTTACATAAATGTTTTAAATACAGCACAGTGCTCCTTGGCTGAGAATACAAGGCTTTCGTCTGAAACCTGGAATCTTCTGATCTCCTCAGTCAGGAGGCTGGAGGCTTTTCCACATTCTCATTTTTCTTGTCTGTGTGTTCCTGATGCTTTGGTCCCCCCCCCCCATTCCACCTGTTTTGCCCCCTTTACTGGTCGATTTGATATTAAATCACTTTATGTCCAGCATATCTACCTGTAGATTTAAACTGCAGGTTTTTATGCCAGACACAAAAAAATGTAATACTGAATCAACCACTAGAGGGAGCAAAACACATGAAAAAAAGAAGCAACAGGATCACACAAGTGACGAATATGAGAATGCAGAAAGGCCCTGGGACTTGTTTAAGGGTGATTGTTAGAGGGAATGGTCATTCTTTTCACAGCAATGTGGACCTAGTGGCCTCAAGCCATCAAAAAAGACTTTTTGTTTCCATGTGGCTGGCTTTAAGTTACACCCCTCACAAGTGGGTTTCTTAACCATGACTGTAGGACAGCATGAAACATATATCCCATTGTTCTACCTGATTGTGCAGAGCAATTTGCAGCATTTCCTTTGGCAACCTCAGTAGCAACCACAGCCATCCCAGCAAATTGTAACAATGGCCACAGCTAAAATCACTCTTACCGTAGGCTTCCTGCCTTCCTTTAGTAATGTCTTCCTTCTTAAAGGCCCTTCCATGGTAACAACTCCTATGGAACTCCCTGATGTGCAGCTACAAGCCCCTGTTGGACTGAAACAACAAATAACATCATGTTGGTAGGAGCAGGCAAAAATGGAAATAAAAAATGTGCAAAACTTTCACAGGCCTTCCTTTACTTTAAGCAACTGGGTTCCTGAACACTGATCTTCCCTTTTATTTATACAAGCTATTGAGTGTGTTGAATAGGATAATGGAAGACTATTTAATTCCCATTGGTAGATTTTGCTAGATTTCCCCAATCATTAAAGCTGCTTCTGTCACTGCATTAGTGATATAAATATGCTGACATTCAGACCAAGGGAACATGAAAGCACACTGACTAAATCTGTTCACTGCAGAAGTTCAAGGATGTTCAAGGTTTCAAGATAGCCGCCCTGAGCCCTACGGGGGAGGGCGGGATATAAATTTAATAAATAAATAAATAAATAAATAGAGACATCATCATTGAAGAGATACCAGAGAAAATGTGCTTTAAACAATAAATTGAGCTGCTGTGATTAAGAGAATATAAATGGGCAAGATTAAGCCCAACTGCTACTGTTTAAAAGTTATGACTCGGTCAAATAATTCAGTTATATGAAATTGCCACTCAAGTGACATGTGCCAGTTAAATGATTAGCAGACTGGGTGAGGCTATTAATATGATACCAAGTGAAACATAAACCCTTCACTAAATAGGATAAAGAGGACTCTAATAACTAAACTCCAGTCACTGAACAGAGGTTCATAGCTCAGTTTGATTTAGCCACGGTGATTCATGCTTTAGTTACATCTAGACTGGACTACTGCAATGTGCTCTACTTGGGGCTACCCTTGAAGAGCGTTTGGAAGTTGTGGCTAGTGAAGTATACAAAGGTTAGACTGCTGGTTGAGGTCAGTATCAGGATCATGTGACCCCCAATATAACAGCAATTACACTGGCTTCCATTCCATTCCCAAGTCTGATACAAAGTGTTGGTTTTGACCTTTAACTCCCCACATGGCTTGGGAATGGGGCACCTGAAGGACTGACTTCTCCCATATGCCTGGGAACGAAGATCACAGGGAGAGGCTCTCTTGCCTGGGACCAAAGAAGCTTATCGGGTGGGCACATGAGAGACAGCCTTTTCAACAGCAGCCCCACGATTATGGATCCAACTCCCCAGGGAGGTATGCCTGCCCTCCCCCCCACTCTTGACCTTTAGGAGGCAGGTGAAAACCTTTTTTTCATGATGCCATTCAATTTGTTTCTTTTCTTCTCCCTACCGGCAGTTTTAATTTAGTGTTTTTATGTACTTTATTGTTCTATTGCTGTTTACACTGTAAGCTGCCTTGAGTTCCTATAAAGTAGAAAGGTGGCTAATAAATGTTTTAAATAAACAAATAAATAAATAAGGGTCTTGACCTCTGTACCATTTGTTTGGCTCTCCAGGGCAACTGGCTGGCCACTGTGTGAAACAGTATGCTGGACTAGATGGGTTTTATCCAGCATGGACTACTTTGTGTTCTAATGGTCGAAGAGCAATGGAGCCACCGCATTCTCTACTTCAAATATCAGCTAGTTAAGAAACACACACAGTACCGACTGAGCTGGGTTAGAGTCTGGCATAGAAGGCCCTAAATAAATGCTTATGGCTCCATACACCCCACTGTGAAATGTCTATAGGTAGATCTTGCCTCAGGCCAACCCAATTTGCCAGAAAGCATCAGTTACAAACACACCATGAATTCCAGAAGATAGCTCTTTCTTTTTCGTTCTTCACAATATCTTAGCTATTTCTATAGTGAGAACAACAAAATAGTAAAGGTGTACAGTAATGTATAGGACAAATTATTACTGGGGTCTCTTTGTTTTGTCTATCTGCACAGCCTGTGAATTAATTTGTACATGTTAATTCTGAATGTGAGACTGGCAGGTATGTGAGCTGCTGCCTATGTACTATGGATGTCTGCAAACAAAATCTATTCCTATGTGTATAGCAGCAACTTTAGACCACAGACAGTCTCAGAAAACCTGTCCCTTTTCTTTGACGAGGGCCCCCATATCTCTAACAAGGAATCTTTAACCGTACAATACACTACGTTGAGACTGCTTGGTTTTTTAAAAAAATATGATATCTGTATGGCAAACAGATCACTACTATTTTTATTACTAAAGGTTTTCCATCACCAGAGAACAACACATCACAACTTTATATGGAAATCATCACAAAGGAGTTCTCTTAGGATGAAGGAGTATATTCATAAAAGACATCCACTTCTTCGAGCGATAGCCTAATTAATGCAGACAATATGATGAGATGTTATTTTGGATGTTTATTCAAAAAGGAATTAAAAACGGAATGAGATAAAGTCAGGCAAAACGAGGATTGAAATGGAGAATGAGCAGGACAGCAAGATCATTTTGAAGGCAGAAGCATCTTTTCTCCTCCAGAAGCACGCACACATATTCACGTCACCTTTGTAAGCATCACAAAGGCTTTGTCAAAAAAACCCCAAGGCTAGCAAAATAATCCAGCAATTAGGAAGAGGAACAGAAGAAATCTTGAGAAGATGCCCTGTAAGGAACTAATCTTTAGGTTAATCTTGGACAAACTGGTTAGAATTAGTCATAGATCATTTGCATAATCTTACTCCCTTTCCCCCAAACATGCATATTTCTGTTCCTCACACAGACTTTAGTATCCTGGCAAGTTATTCCATCACTTTCATCACTTCTGGTACGTCATGCTCTTGTCACCTTGGTGTAAAAAGGCACATGTTGCTAATTGAGATGATATGATTTTAGATCCTGCTCTCACTGGAAGAAATGCGTAGGCTTAGAAATGAAATTGTTTTGATTTGTATGAGTTGTAGAAGGAAATGGAATTGTGGTGATGAAGTTGGAAAAGGAAGAGTCAGCTTGAAAGCCAGCATAATTCAATACACAGTAGGAGAAATACTAATTAATACTGAATGTTAGGAAACTACCCATTAAGGATAAAGCATATCCAAGCTCTCTTTTGCCTAGAGCATTCACAAGACTGCATATGATACACAAGCTCCGTAGCCCAAACACAAAGTCTTGTACTGTGGGCGTACATTTTAATGCTATTATCCACCCGGTTTTAATAGTCCTTGATGGGGTTGCATGTTGGGGGTGCTTCCACACAGAAGGGATTTTCCATTTCTGTCTTGCACTTGGTGCGACTATGTTCATTTGCACTGGCAACAGAGATTCCACACACATGGCAGAATCAGCACACTGCCGTTCTTGTTTTATCTTTGATTTTCCTTCCTCACAGGTGAGCATTTGTTACACATCTGCTCTCCAGTCACTCCGCTGTCAACTGCATGACATTGCAACTCTCCCCCCATTAAAAAAACAACAGCCACTGAACCATAATAGTGCTACACCAGTAGCCTTTGCTGACACCTCCCCTTTCTCTTTCTCTCTTCGGTGTATGGCATGCACGGTTTCTCAGTTTCTTTGCAGCATTCTTTCACTATCCTTTCTGGGAGTCTTAAATGATCTGTGGATAGTGAGATTTCATTGTTTCTGTATATCTGGACATAAATTATGACTTGGATCCTGTGAAAAACACCAGTAGGCCAGAATCTTCCCCATCCTCCCCACAGATCCCTGGAAAAATTATCAAGGCTTGTATATAATAATAGCTGCAGTAAGTCAGGTAGCTGTAGTGGGGAGGGGGGAAGGGATGGAAGTGGAGGGGGAGTGCAAGACTAACATCATATTGAGAATGGCAGGGATGGAACTATCACATTTCTTCTAGTTTAAAGAAGAACAAAGACAAGGAAGAAAAGTTTGGGCAGCAGAGCACAATTCGCACACACACGGAGGTTGAGTTTGTGTGAAAAAAAGCCCTTGGGCGATTTCGCACTAGAGCTGCCTCGCGGCGCAGCCGCCATTTGCCCCGACACTATTTGTCAATTTCACACCCGAGGCTGCGGGGCTGCATTTGACCCGCGGCTTCGCCCTATTTCCTCCACAGTTTCGTGATCCTCAAAAACCAGGATCATGAAACTGTGGAGGAAATCGGGCGAAGCCGCGAGTCAAAATGCAGCCCCGTGGCTTCGGGTGTGAAATTGACATGTTTGTGTTGGGGCAAATGGCGGCTGCGCCGCGAGGCAGCTCTAGTGCGAAATCGCCCCTTCTCTCTGATCACTTAAATGGAGAAAATGCTCTGTGTGGCATCAACCTTAGTGTGTGTCTTATTTAAAACAGGAACTAGACAGAAAGGAGGACAAAAGAGTTACGCTTTAATTTAAAATACCATGTAGCCAAACGAAGCACTTTCAGACATAATTATTTCAACTGGAGAGTTAACCCTAAACTCCTTTTCTTGACAGCTGTTAGTTTAAAAGAAAAACACCTTTACTGATTTCTGCCCTCAATTACAGTATGATAAGGAAGAATAGTCAGCATCTGTGGGAAGCATGTTTATATGCAGTGTGACATGTAAACATGGCCAATCATGCTTCTGTGGTGTGGAGATGAAAAGTATATCTTGATGAATGAACATCTAAATATTTTCCCTTCTCTTGGCAACTTTTATAGCATAGAAGGAAAGTCTTTGCACAGATGATGGAGGGAAAAAAAGGAAATATGATGCTGTCTTAATTAGCAAGAGGAAAACAGAGGGTAAAAATAAGAATTAACACCACATTTTAGGGTGAGACAGACCCACCACCTAATTGTACCTGTAGACACAGCTTCGACTTCTGGGAGAATTCCGAATTGGTACCCGCCAGTTGGGCCCCAGCGTGGCATACAACCGACCCCTGTTCATAAATTTACAGGTAAGTTCTTTTCTCATCGTGCAGATACTGTGATAACATCCATCACAACAAAACATACAAGATAATGTGAGACACATATTGTACTGGATGTTCTCAAAGGCAGAGATATCTTTAGTGATTGTTTTACTTTCCATAAAATAATGCTCATTTTAACACCTATGAACATATAAAGCAAATTTTTGTGAGAACATGGGTAAGATGGTGCTTTAAGTGAACAGACAATGCAAGTTTGTGAACCTGCTTCTATCTCACTGACTTCAATTTTTCCCTTTATTTCTGAGGTCCAACAATATTCTGAAAAATTACACTGGGAATAAACGAGCTCTTATGAAAGTTACACCTGCACCAATCACCCTGCAGCACAAACCTGAAAAAAGTCCTCAGAAAAAATTAAGGGGCTATCAAAAGAACAGCACTAAATGTTCAAAACCTGTACGGAAGGCCAGTAATTAACTGCAGAACATGACAATAAAAATGAAAAAAAGATTATATATATATATTTGTGCAGAATGCATTCTCATCCCCACTGAATAACCACAGCCAGCCCAGCCCTCACTCCTCTGGGATTCAGAGGCAAGATTTCAATGCTGGGGCCATTGATGGAAATGGTCTTTAATGTGACACTCTGACCCAGCAAAGGTGTAATGCATGAAGAACAAGTTGAACGAATGCACTGAGAAGAAAGAATTATTTTATGAGACCAGAAACACAGACAAATCCACTTTGCTCCCATCTCAGCTGTTGTGCTAAAACCTTTGGTTGCTTAGATGAAAACTGTCTACTTTAGCAAACTGAATTAAATTAGAGAGATGCAACTTTTCAATAAACTGGATATACTGAATGCAAGAAGCATGTTCCCTGGAGTGACTAAATGGCTTCCACTGATTTCAAGTAGTTCTATGATCTGTGGGGCATAACCAGCCCCCGTTTTTTCCCTTTTTGATCAAAACAGCCCAACTGGTATGGTTTGAAATTCTGTCAATGTGTACAAAGTAGTCTGAGATGGCAGTCTGTAAGGAAATAAAAGATTCTCAGGTACTTATTTGAAGAACTTTCCAGAACTACTTTGTGAGCAAGTTATAGGAGCTTTGCAGCAATCACTGATGCTGAGAAACAGTGTTAACTTTTTTTAAAAAAAATATCTGGCACATGATCCTGAGAGGTAGTGCACTAAACAGATACTTCAAATACATCATGGCCTTTGGGAGTGGTAACAATCCTAACAGAGGTCATTTCGGGGGGGAACGCGGGGGAACGCAGTTCCCCCGGGTGAGGTACGGGGGGCGAGGCACATGACGAAGCCCCGCCCCCTGCTTCCGGCCGCCCCGCTTCCGGCCCTCATTCAGCCAAGAGGAGGCAGGAGAAGAGGGAGGGTAAGTTGCTTCCTCCCTGCCTCTCCCCACCCCTGCCTGCCTGGGGCCAAGGAGGGCCTTTGCGGGGCTTCCTTGCACTCCCGCCGGCCTTGCAGGTCCACCGCCGGGCCCCTGATGTCAGGGGGTGTGGCATATGCTAATGAGTTATGCTAATGGGTTCCCCTAGCTCTTTTTCTATGAAATGACCCCTGAGTATTAGCATGGCTACTTATTTAAAAAGTCTATTAGCCGCCTTTGTACCTTGTGGAACACAATGTAAATAAAACAATAATTATTAAAAACACATTAAAAGCACAAATTAAATTCTCAATTAGGATTGTTTGGCTACAAACAAAAGTTCTCCTTTGATTTTTGAAAAACATTTATATTGTAGCTGAACTGGGGACACATTTTTGGCTGCAGTTAAGTTGCTTATCATCATTTTGTAATATGTTTTTGGGCACCTCACCCCAATATAAATATTTTCATTTGCTCAGAAGTCACATTTGTAAGAACATATTCAGTTAACACCACAGGGTTTCAAGAAAGGCTAAACCTTGAGGTCATAAATGGTATTTTCTATCCTCACTTTATGATTGACAAAGAAAATTCTAAAATAAGATACACAAAATTTATTCTATGTAAAAGTACACCCATCTGTGGTCTTTAGCATAGGGAGATCACATTCAGAAAGGGGGGAAAACCCTCTAATATATTGCTTTTTTTTGTTCGTAGTTTTTAAATATGTGTGTGTGTGCGTGCGTACATCCAGAAGTGATGGTGACTTCAGGTGACTATGTGTGCACCTGGAAGGGATGGTGATCTCTGGTGACTGACCCCTACTTGGGGGCTGGAGGATATTCAGGTGGCTGAATAAAGCCTGCCCCAGCCTCCAATATTCCAAGGAGGTCTCCCATCCAAGTACTTGCCAGAGTCGACCCTGCTTAGCTTCCGAGATCTGACAAGATCGGGCTTGCCCGGGCTACCCAGGCCAGGGCTGATTTATTTCTTGAAGAGGATGTGATCTCATGTATAACAGGCAAAAAGAAAGTATGCATCCAATCAGGCACAAAAAAGGACTCTAACAAAGTACTCTATATCATCTACCATAGAAGAGCACATATGAAGAGACAGGGAATACTTAGTTTCAAGTTCTGATTGTTTACCGTAAGGGTGAACACTGACATGAAACAGTTTTATAAAGGTCTCATTTTGAGCCCTACAGGAGGGATTACTGCACTAGCCGTTTCTGAATCCTGTATGCTGATTAGAAGCAATATTTGGCAAACCCTCTCTTCTGGAAGAGAAAGCCATACTCTGTAACAAGCCTAGAAATGCCCCAGGGGAAAGACTGCCCCAAGCTGGTATCACTGTTGATTCTTCTAGTTCACCTGAAGACACACCAATGCCCAAAAGATCCATTAGGGTATATTCTGAGCCTACCATGACAGTTGTCTGCCAACTGCCAGTCAAGACTGCAACCCATTTGTTTTTGGTGAGTTATGTACACCTATTGCCAATAATGAATGCAACAGTATACAATGTGTTGAATGAACATTATGTACACAAAATGTGAAATATCATATACACAAGATGTTAAAACATTATGAGGCTCTGGATAGCACACTCATTTCTACGCTTCCTCAGATCTGTGTAAAAAGCTTCACTGTAAAATGAGAGCTGCTATGGGAAGCAGCTGAATCCCCATTCAGATCTGCAGTCTGAATGAATATGTAACAGATGGAAGCAAATCCCATAATCACTAAGGTTGGTTTGAATCTTCACATCTGCGAATATCTCAGACTTTAAGCCATTAAGTCCTGTCATTAAGTTACTGTCTACATACTGAACATCTAGAGACATTGTTTCCTTCACCTAGCAGAACAAGCATAATGGGGTGATCGATCTGACTGTGCCATTTTCCTTCGCAGAGTTCTTTTGTTTGCCTCCTTTCCCTCTATTGCTGTATTTCTATTATTCATATAATTCATATTATTCTCTGTTTTCCAGTTGATGAGACACTCCAAGAAATTCTTCTCTCTGCAGCAGCAAAGAGAGAACTGAGGGATGATGCAGTGTGAAGATGGGAAAGACCAAGGGAGCAGTGCCGTGCCTCATGCTCAGACAAGCTCCAGAATGTTCTGAGGCAGGCCTATATGTTTGCAGTTCTCTGTGTGGGACTGCACAGAGACCACAGCAATGAAGCAAAGTTCTGGGGCAGTGCCTCCTCAAGGCCGCTATGTGATTTGCTCTCTCTAGTCCAGCATTATCACTGGACTACATTTCACCTGAGATGTCATACACCAGGCAAAGTCAGAAACAAGTATTTAGTTTAATTTCTTATGAGAACATGGCTGAACTTGTTTTGTTTAAAAGAGAACACCACAGTGCACAGGATACTGACTTTTTTGTTTATTTTATAGTGCAGAAACAAGCTGAGGCTTGGAGAAATGTTGTTCTTTAGCTCAACAGAACCTGGGAGGTCCCTGAGAGTGGATTTCAGTGTGAGAATGAGTCTAGAAAGTCAGAGAGCACGGCTCAAATGGAGCATGTCTGGAGCCTGAATTCTTCTGTGGCTTTTAGATGGGTGTCATAAGCAAACAAGCTACAAATTCTGGATTATTGACAGAAACTAGCTAAATGCCATGCTCTCAGGTTAAGGTCAATCCGGAAATATTTATTCTGAAGTTTGATGGTATTTTAAAGTCTAAATGCATTACTGAGCATCTGAGAATTTAGTTTCATCAGAATGTAGGCAAAATATGCAGCAGTTCACACACTGAATATTTAGAGACTTGTCTCCAACTTTTCTTTTAAACCTCATAATGGTAGCTTTGAAGGCATTTTTTTCTTCCATTTTTCTGTATGACTTGCTCAAATGATTACAGTCAACAGCAGCATTATGGAGCCATTTGTGCAACTGAAGCAAAATTCATCAAAGGCTTCTATGATGCTGTGAAATGCAGATTCAATCTATATACCATCAACTCATTGGTAAAGGTAATGCTCACCTCTCAAGCCCTGAAGAAGGCTCCTCACTAAATTCTGAGCTTTCACTGCTTCCTACAAAACAAAAAGGATACAGAGATATTAACATGTCAAGAAAAACAAAATATGGAACAAGTCCATGCCCCTTGCAAAAGATCCCAAAACAAACCACAGAAGCCAGATGTGAGAGACCAGAGTGAAAAGTGGTATAAGAAATATTCCAGTGTTTCTTCTTGAGGTGCCTGTTGCCCTGACCAACACAGTACTGCAGTGTGCTTGTTTAGTACCTTATGATTATCATCAGTGATTCAGTGTTCTTCAAACATAACCACACCAGCCAAAGACAAATGACAGACAACAAAAAGATGACTGTTTTTCATTTAATTAAGACACAGAAACAGGTAACATGAAGTAAGTGACATTTTGGTGCCATGACAAATCAGCCTGATGCTTGGTTTTATTCATGGTCCTCTCATTACAGGATCAGAACTTTCCAGAATCAATCATTTTCCATTCAAGTTATTGAAGTTGCAAATTTAAAGCTGTACATGTCACAACTGAACACATTTCCTTTCCACCAAACTTGGTGGTGTGGATTTCCTCTTGTTCAGGTGCTAAGTTAAAGAAACAGCCACCCCAGCGACAGGTGATATCCAACTCCTGGAAGGTTCATTACTGTCCAGCTTGGTTTTTCCATTGCTAGGAAATTGCTCAGCATGGTAATGATCTGTGATGGCTTCTCAGGTGATATATGTAGATGGCACTTTTCACATTCAGATTAGTAACCACTGCGCATCATGCATCTGATGAAGTAGGCTCTTGCATATAAAAACTCATGCCACAGCAAATTAGCAACTAAATCAGCCAAGTTTGTCTTTTAAGCTGCTATGGACTACCTAAATTACTTCTGGAACGCAAGCTTGTCTCTGGCATGATGTTCACTATTACATTTTACTCAAAACAGTTACTTTCCCCCAAGTCTTTTCTGCAGCCACAGTTTAAAACTTTATGCTAAATTTTGTAGAACACATTTGCTCGTCCTGCTGAGATCATTTCTAAACATGGCCTTGTGCTTTGCTACCTTTTAAAATGGTGATCCTCATACAAAGACAACTTTCAGACTTACATGATTGCTCACGAGCATGTCTCCTTTTTTACATTTAACTGCCAACCCAACTCATAGGAGAAAAAAATTCACAACGACGGTCTCATTTCACCTTTGCCATATTCTAGCAAGATAGTCAAGTTAATGAGAAGCTAGCTGTCTACAGGTGTGTGTGACTGAAGCGACCTACAAATAAAGTGAGCTGTGCAGCATTTCTGGGCACATGAAAAGCAGCTCTCAGCTTCTTGCACAGAGTTTCTGTCTAAATGACAAGTTTTCTTTGCCCTGAAAATAAAACAGTCTTTTCCAGATACTATATTTCTAGGTGTCTCTCTGAACTTCAAAGCAGGAGAGACAGACAAGCAGTGAATCCAGCAAGACTCTTGCATCCGAACCACTGAATACTTACCTATAGAAATACCATTGGTGAAAACAGAGTTTAATGTGTGGTTTCTGACAGGACTGTGGGATTCTAGCACACTGTCATCCAGCAGGTGGCGTGGCTTCTCTGTTGGGAACGTTGCACTTTTACTTTCAACTACACTTAACTGACACATCATACTGGAAAATTGGAAAAGAAAAAAAAGGCAAGATTCTTATGTAATCTGATAACATCCATTCACTCCTGTTTTTCCCACACAGATCTTTCTTCACTGATTATACATGTCACTGAGGCCTTAAGAGCTAAAAGGATTTTTCACAGGATCCTTCTCTCAGAATTGGGCTGCCTGTCTACACAAGAACTGGGTTCAAAGCAGCCTGTAAAAATCAATTTGCTATTGCTTTTAAATAGGTGTATGTATGTTTTCACATTGTTCCTCTGTCCCAGTTTACAAGGCTCAATAATCCTGAATTGCTACGTAAGTGACTTCAATAAGATGATGATGGTCAAGTAATATGTCCTCTATCTATCATAATCCAACCACTTCTCATGTGGGAACTCTGCCTGAACATCTAACACTGCTACTGCACTGAACGTTTCTTTCTGTCCAATATACTTGAGCACATCATGGCTAGGCAGAGTCATGATTTCCTCAGTCTGAAAGGGGCACTACATCAACTGATTCTTTTCCTGGTAAATTTTGCCCCACAGAGGCTGGGGTAAGGGTGGCACTAGGGCCCAAAATGGCAGAATGTGCAGTACCCAGAAGAGAAGTCAAGGTGGGTCTGAGACAGGCGTTTAACCAGGAATGAAGTGACTCCCGTGGTATTAGAAAAGGAGAAAGGCAGCACTGAGAAAGCGATTCCTGGGTTTTCCAACTGCTTATTTAAATCTTAGTGGTGCCTGAATAGACTGTAAGATTTTATGAGGACTAGAACACCCACTTGTTTCCCAGGCTGTGACTCTTCCTGTGTCGTGGTACAGGAGGAGTTGGCAGGCTGGCTGCCACCGAGGCATCAGGACAGGTTGGTCTCCTGTTGAACCTCACAGCTGCTGACACCTCTGATGGACCTACAAAATAGACACCAATTAATGCTAAACTGGAGCGGAGGAAAGATATTGCTAGCGGTCTGGAAGGCTTGGACAGTCTTGTAGAGAGACAGTCGGAAAGTATGTGTGGGGGAGGAAGGAAGACAGCATCGACTTGAGAAGGACTGTCACTGATCTCTAATGGCAGTTCCCAAATACTGCTTCCTGCCTACCGGTATTACACCATCCGTTCCTATTAAGAATCTATCCAGTTAAATCGCAATTGGCCACAAATTGTGTTTCTTGTGCATCATTTTGATGACAAAAGTGCCACAAAAATATATTCTTGGCTACTCTATGACAGAGACTTGCCAATGGAATAATATGCACAGCCAGAAAATATTTCGGGTGTTATCGTGAGCGTCTAACACAACATATGTTCCGAGTTTGGTTTGCAACCTTATTTGCCTGTAAACAGTTTGTTAGTATTGACTCATAGCCTGAGTATCTAAGGGAAATGTGAGGATGTTTCATGTACACCAGAGCCAGACAGATGTCTTATTTCTCAATTAAATCTGCAAACTCTGGGGCTTTGAGAAAAATCCTGTTGCCAGTGGGTTACACATTTTTAGCCAGCATTTGCTGGTAACAGGTAACAGGAATGGGGCAGAGTTAGTAAGTTCTTCAGTGGTCTCCTCCAAGTAGAAGAGAATAATTCTGTTTGTGTGTGTGTCAACAAGCTTGTCTTGACTGAGGCAAAATCTTAACAGCACTGACCAAGAGGGAACAGTTTAGTTTCCAGACTTTTTCACAAATGAAAAACTTTCTACTTACAACTCTGTCTGACATTTCACATATTACACTGATCCTTCATAAAAATACTTTTGTGTATAATAAGAAAAAGATGATCACAGGTAACAACCACATGTCCCACTAGGTTTATGCATGCTAAGAAGCTGTGACTGACTGCAGCTGCCTAGAACCTGTACACACAGTGGAACAGGCAGATGTGCAATCGGTACATGAGACAATCTAAAAAAAATTACTATGTAAAAGTGCTATGTGTGTAGGAAATTGTTTATGTTTGAAGCAGCCCCAAGTCTTAACGAGGCCTCTCTGCTTTAGAGATGGTTAGGTGCTTCAGATCATATACATGGGAACTTCAGTTAATAATATTGCTCAATATTCAGCCAGGGAAGCCAGCTCAGCAGGTGTAAGGACAAGTTGCGCCAACATGTTTCATAGCTTTTTGTTTGAAGAAGTGGATACACAGCATTGACCACAGTGAGTAAAAAGGCACAGAATAAATAATCTATTGATCATAGCTGTATTAGACCATATCTGGGGTTAATACTCTGCCTTTAGCCTTTACATATGTAGCTGCCTTACACTGAATCAGACCATTGGTCCATCAAGGTCAGTATTATCTATTCAGACTGACAGCAGCTCTCCAGGGTCTTAGGGTGAGGTCTTGCACATCACCTACTACCTGGTCCTTTTGACTGGAGACGCCGGGGGTTGAACCTGGAACTTCTACATGCAAAACAGAGGCTCTCCCAAAGAGCCATAGCACGTCCCCATTAATCTGAAGGTATACAAATGTGGAAAGGTATGGATTTTTCATGGATGCATATTTATAATTTTAATTTCTCCAAGTCCTGGACTCATAACCTCAAGCATTGGCTATGCCATTGATGGCTACACTTTTGAACAGGTACTCCTATTCACCACTACACAAATTAATCAAACCTTTACATCTATACAATTATTTTAGCCTTGACTGATACGGAATATAAACAGAAGAATGAAAGAGAGATATTTTGGAAGGAAAGATGACAAACCAGCTTCTGGACCTAGGGGAGAAAAGAAATGCTTTGGGACAACTCTCATGCAACAGCCACTGGTAAACAAGACCAGGGAAAGGATGTTCAGTTGCAGGCTTGTCCTCTCTGTTTCACTTACACATAAATGCATGTGATGAAGGAACTTCTTGCATGCCCGCCCTGCCATATCAACAAAAAGGCTTGAGCCAATTAGCGTTTGAACAGTGAGTCATTTTGGCATATAGTTTCTAAGGAGGCCTTTTATTTAAAGGTCAAATACCTTGCCAACAAAATGCAGCTTCGCTCATTTCTTGATCAGGGGTGTAACCAGAACCACACTCTGGAAGATGTAGCAAGAGAAATGCTTTCTTGAACATGTTTCTGCAAAATTCTGACTATAAAGGGTTTCTCAAAGAACCATCAGCCCTCCCAATTGCCCGAAGAGGATGAATCAATCAACCACAAGCAAATCAAGACAGTTGTGCAATTTAAGTCTTTTGAGAGGCACTAATTCAGAGTTGCAAAACATTACTAACAACAAATGTTGATTATGCAGTGATAGCCTGCCGGTCAAAAGAGTTTAAATAATACCCTAAAAGCTTAAAATAGGCTCCAATATTACCATCTGATAACATGTACTGTGTGGTGGTATGTTTTGAAAGGGAAACAATAACTTCTTTAATCTCTTTTATGACATTAAAATGGATCCATACTTCAGAGCTGTGTCATTCCTCACCCAAAGAGTGATTTAGCCCATGGAATTCACTGCCACAGGAGGTGGTGGTGGCTACAAGCATGGACAGCTTCAAGAGGGAATTAGATAAGCATATGGAGCAGAAGTCCATCAGTGGCTATTAGCCACAAAGTATAGATAGGAACTCTCAGGCTGGGGCAAGGGATGTACTGTAT